CCACTGCCACTATTTTTCACAAATATAAATTAGGGATGCGCTGTATCGATATCTACTGTATGTGTTTGCCTTTTATTTATGTGATCATGCCGAAAACTGTAAAAAATGTATATTTATCGGCTTATATATCGGCTGTTTAAAATATATCTGTTATTGGTATCGCTGATTTTATTTTAAAACTTTAACTTCAGAAAAGCTTGAACTGGTCTCTGAACTTTATTAATCAAATATCCTAATTCTATCATCAGATAACAGTAAAATAGCATTGCTATCCAATAAAGGCCAATATTTTTAAGCCGATAAATGATGTATTATTTCTCTAGTTAAACCACCTCACATGCTAGTTGCCCAGCACTTTTTAATTATTTTACTGATATTTAGATTTTTTTTAATGTTTAGTTACTAAAGTTTTAAAATAAATCCTGTGATACCGATAACCGATAAGTTTTGATTAGCCGATATATTAGACGACAATTATGTAAATATAAAATTTTCACACTTTTCTGCACGATTGCATTAACAAAAGGCAAACACGTACAGTCAACATGATTGTGTTTAGCTTTTTTTATCTGCTAGTACAGTATATCGGCTATCCAAAACATATCGGCTATCGGTATCGCTCATTTTATTTGAAAACTTTAGCTTCAGTAAGGTTTGAACTGATCTCTAAACTTTATTAATCAAATGTCTTAATTTTGTTATCAAATAACATTCAAAATAGCATTATTATCCGATAACAAAATTTGGCCGATATCTTTAAGCCGATAAATTAATGTATTATTTCCTCTAGTTAAACCACTTCACATGTTTGTTGCCCAGCACGTTTTAATTATTTTACCGATATTTTGGTTGTGGTTAATGTTTAGTTACTTGGTTACTTTATTCATAGTTTTTTTTTTTTCGTCAGACAGTAAATAATTATTTATATAAAATAAAAAAATTGTTTATATAAAAGAAAGTTTTGGCCTTTATTTGGCCTAATTTTGTTATTGAATAACGATGCCATTTTTTGTTATCTGATTACAAAATTAAGATAATTGATTAATAAAGTTCAGAGGTCAGTTCAAACTTCTCTTAAGTTTCAAAATATTATCAGTGATAATATAACCGATAAGTTTTGAATAGCTGATATATTAGCTGACAATTGTAAATTTTTCTCCATTATCACATAAACAACAGGCAAACACATACAGTGAACATGATTGTGTTTAGCTTTTTTCATTATCGGCTAATATATCGGCTATCCAAAATGTCGGTTATCGGTAACACAGACTTTATTTTAAAACTTTACAATTAGAAAACTTTGGACTGATCTCTTAACTTTATTAATCAACTATCCTAATTTTATTAACAGATTATGATAACATAAAAAATGAGCATTTATTGTCAATGTTATTTTTAATGTTATTGTTATCCGATAATAAAATTAGACCAATATCTTTAAGCCGATAAATTATTTATTATTTCCGCTGGTTGAACCACTTCACATGCTTGTCAAGTGCCACTTTTTATTTATTTAACTGATATTTTGATTTTGGTTATATTTTATTTCATTTATATAAAAGAAAGTTGGCCATAGACAATAATAGTTAATTAATAATGTTCAGAGATCAGTTCTATATAATTTTTGCATAACCAAAATATTAGTCGATAAATATACATTTTTCTGCATGATTGCATAAACAAAAGGCAAACACATACAGTGAACTTTTTGTTCATGCATAAAAATGTATATTTATCGGCTTATATATCGGTTATCGGTATCACTCATAAATCCATATCGGTGCATCCCGAAATAAAAAGACAGTATTTATAGATCCGATATACAAAAACAAGCAGCTCTAGTCTGGTTTTGGTGGTTGTGTAAATCACAAACATACCTCATAACTTTATTTTCAAGTCTTAAACTGAAGTAGAATAGACTCAAGCACCATATGCTGTGTTACACAATGATACATCTCCAAAATATAAATATATATAATATATATAAATATAAATGCATATATTCAAAAGAACAGAAGAACTGTGTACTGTACATGTATATAAACTGTACGATCATGCATAAAGTATGTTGATTTAGGGTATTTTTTGTAAGCTTTTGTTTTCTACTGAAAGAGCTGTGCATGTGACAGTGTGCATGCAGAATCCTCTCTCTGTACGTTCTGTTTACAAGTGTAAGATAGATGGATTTCTGTATTCATAAAGACGCCTTTTTTATTAATGAATATAGCTGTGTGTGAGTAGATGGGTCAATCGGATCCTTTCACTGTTGTCTGATCTGTAATAATAATAATAAAAAAAACACGAGCCCATTTTTTCATTAATGCAACATCTAGAATGTATATATAAAACTATCCGCAACTTCTTGTGATAACATAAGGATTACAGTGTGAATGCAGTGTTGACCACTAGAAATATTATCTATATGGAGATGTTTTAACGCAGACGTTGTTTTAATGTTGAGAAACCCTCGTCTGGTTGTGTACGTATGTGCAAGAGACGTTGGTTTTGAATGTTCTTGTGCTGTTTTTGTGATTATTAAAGTGAATATCTTCTATGACGGTCTTACCATGCAGTTTTTTTTATTTATTTATGAACAGTGTAAAACAGTACACACAGTTTTACAGTGTAAAATTGTATGTGGAAAGAAATGCTGGGTTCCACACAATTAATTTGTGTTCGGACAACATGAAGGAATTAAATTAACTTATTAGTTTTTACAAATTTATGTAGATTGAACAGAAAATATTTTAGTTGTCCCACCAAAAAACTCAAGAATTGAGTTGTTTCAGCTCATTTTAAATAAGTAGTTTGAACAAGCAGTAAACGTCATTTTTTGAGGGTATATACACAAATTAGACAAGGCTAGTTTTCAGTAGTTTATGTACAGTTAAGGTTTGTACACACCGGGATGCTTTTCATTTGCGTTTATCATCAGCGTTTTTCGAGATGTTTTTCTAGATTCAAACCCAAGCGATTTTCACTGGCGTCGAGCAGAAGAGTATGCAAAATCACTCCTTGACGTTAGATGGCGCTACACAACTGTAAGCTTCTAACACCCTCTTGTAACATTAAAGAAGACAGAAAGTTGACACTCTTGTTGTTAGTGGGTGGTAATGGGTGGTTCAAGTAACAGTTCCAGCTCTAGCCATGAAGACATGATTATTGTTCACCAGTGCAATAAGCAGCTCCACGTTCACATCGCCTCTGGGCATCTTCAATGTGCACTCGTATGGACAGTTTTGCGCTTGAGCGCCTCCAAGTGCTGTTTACTGTAACTTCAGCAGCTCCGTGTACGTGAACGAAAGTGTCAACCTGATTGGTGGAGAAAGTTTTGACGTGGCGCATCAAAACAAAAAAACAAGCATGAGGCGTTTCTTTAAAAATGACACTTTTACATCTGGCGTTTTGCACGTTATTGTGCACGATCACATTGACGCCCTTTATTTAGTCACGAGGCGTTAAACTAGATGTAAAAACGCAAGCAAAAAGCGTCCCGGTGTGAACGGGCCTTAATCGTTTGAAGAATAAAAGAAATTAAACTATCAAGAGTATTAAAAGTATTTACATATTTTCATGACAGACTTTTAAAATGTTTTGTCTCATTCAAAATAAATATTTAGTTTAGTACTAATTTACAGCTTTAAATGTTTACTGTAAACAGTTTTGGCTTTGTTTGATGTATAGTATGTGCTCATTTTTCCAACACGATCTCACGGCAATTCGTAACTTTGATTTAGTGGCTAATTTGTATGAATTCATATCGTTGGGTTCCACCCCTCCTTTTTAAAATCGTACATTTTCGTATGACTGAACTCGTCAGAATTAGCTGCTTAACTGACTAAATGTAAAAAAGTTATGTTTCCTTGTGAGATCAGCCTGGTTTTACAGGAAATGTCTAGTATAAAGGTTATAGCACACTGAATGTGAAATTTCCGATCGGAATTTTCACATGTAAAAAAATTAATTCAACCTTATGTTGTGTTTATCGGATTGATGTCTATGAAACTTTTGTCTGTCATAAACTATTTACAGCTTTAAATATTTACTGTAAACAGTTTTTGGCTTTGTTAGATGTATAGTATGTGCTCATTTTTCCAACACAATCTCACGGCAATTAGTAACTTTGATTTAGTGGCTAATTTGTATGAATTCATACGTACATCTCAATCGTACAATTCAGTACGATTTGCTCATGCCCCAATGATGCTTGGGTTCCACACCTCCTTTTTAAAATCGTACATTTTCGTACGACTGAACTCGTCAGAATTACATAAACATAAAATAGTAACGTTTCCTCATGGGATCAGCCTGGTTTTAGAGGAAATGTCTAGTGTAAAGGTTATAGCACACTGAATGCAAAGTTTTCGTTCGGAATTTTCACATGTTAAAAAAAAAATTTGACTTCACGTTGTGTTAATCTTATTGATGCCTACAAAACTTTCGTCCATCATAAAAAATTCGACCAGGTTAAATTTTTTTTGTTTTTCTTGTGATAACATAAGGATTACAGTGTGAATGCAGTGTTGACCACTAGAAATATTATCTATATGGAGATGTTTTAACGCAGACGTTGTTTTAATGTTGAGAAACCCTCGTCTGGTTGTGTACGTATGTGCAAGAGACTGTTGGTTTTGAATGTTCTTGTGCTGTTTTTGTGATTATTAAAGTGAATATCTTCTATGACGGTCTTACCATGCAGTTTTTTTTATTTATTTATGAACAGTGTAAAACAGTACACACAGTTTTACAGTGT